GATGGTAATAAGTAAGAGTGGGAGAAGAAGAGGTACAAGGTAAGAGATAGTAAGTGATAAGAGGGAGACTAGGTAATATAGCTAATAAACCAAGTAAGTAACAAACTAAGGAATAATAAGGGAATATAAATATGATAGGGTAAGGAATAAAAGATATAATGATAAGAGAGATAAGAAAGGAATAGAGGGTAGTGGTGTAAGGGAAGGGATGAAAGAGGAAAGGTAAGTAAGAATAAGCAATAAAGATAAGGAGGGTGAGTAGTGGGGTTAAGTAAAGATAAGAGTAAGTGAGGGAATGTAAGTAGTGATAACCTGTAAGTATAAGTGAAGAACCAAGTAATAATAAGTAAGCTAAGTAATAATGGAGAGGTAAGGGATAATAGGTAAGTAAATAAGTAGGAAGTGATGGGAAGGGAGATATAAGAGAGAATAGGGAAGGGTATAAGTAAAATAAGAAGACAGAGCTGGGTAGTTAAATGGATAGGAATAAGTGATAGACGAAGGGTAATTTAAGTGAGATGAGTAATAAAGTAGGGAGGTGGGTGATAAATAAGTAATAAGGAATACGAGTAAGAGATGATACGGAAGTGAAGAATAGGTAAGGGATATGGATAAAGAAAAGAGAAGAGATAAGTGTAAGTTGATATGATAAGTGTAAGTTGATATAGGGGAGGCAAATAAATAAGAACTAAGTGATAATAGAAGGAAATGGGAGATATAAGGAGGAAGAGATAGGGAGTAAGGTGACTAATTAAGGAATAAGTAAGTGGTATTCGTAGTGGGTAGTAGTTAGTACTAGATATTAAGTGTAAGAGGTAGGGAGGAAGTGAAAGGGATAAGGATATGGTAGTAGGGGGTAAAGTTATGTAGGGATTTGGAAAAATTATAGGGCTAGAGGAGGAAGACTAAGGAGGAAGAGGAGGACTAATAACTAACTGAGTAATACGTTAGTATAAGTAAAGATAGGGAAGTGTAAGTGACTAAATATAAATATAAAATTGAGTGGTAAGGTAGGTAGGGGAGTATAAATATGATAATAAGAGGAAGTTCAGATAATAGAAGGAAATGGGAGATATTAAGTGATAAAGTAAAGAATAAGTAGGAAGGTGAGATATAGTGAGAGGAGAAGAAGGGATATACGACTAGATTTGGTAGGAGAGTGAGGAATAGAAGTATAAGTGATAAGGTAAGAGTGAAAAGAGGGGTGATAGTAAGGGAGGAGAACTACAAGTGATTAAGTAGGGATAGGCAACAGATGATAAGGATAAGTAAGGGATGAACTAAGTAAGAGTGATATGAGGAATAAGAAGTAAGAAATGGGAAGGGAAGTATATAAATATAATAATTAAGGACTAAGTGATATAAGGTAAGTAAGATAAGTGACTAAGTATGGCTAAGGAATGAACTAAAGAAAGTGGGAATAGGGAAGTAAGGGAGTATAAGGTAAGTAACTATATAATGACTATAGCTAAGTAAGGGTGAGTAATAATAGGGTAAGTGAGATAAGTGGGAAAATAAGGGGAGAGAGATA